CGCTGCTCCTCTTTTGTCGGTCACCACGGCTACCAGCGGCGACTGTCTATTGGTCAGCTGCGCAAACCGGTTCACGTCGATATTCATCCAAGCATTCAGAGGTGCGACGCTGGCTAGCTGGAACTTTAAAGCCAAGGGGCCCTGTTGCACCAGCTTTGCATCCATCTTGTACAGGCATGAAGAGCTGACTGTCTTCCGGTTTCCATAGTCACCGAAAGAAACTTGTGCGTGGTAGTGTGATCCCGCCTTCTCTATGTCTTCGACTCTCACCCTGACCGCAAACTGCACTATGAGGTCTCTGTAGATGTAGGAGCTTCCTTCGTGAAGTTCGGAGGCACCGCAGAGCTCCAGGTCACATCTTGCAATATTTCTTTGAACCTCGGCTAAGTGCCCTTTCAGCACAACAAGCTGGCCGTACCAGAAGTCGGGCGAACACGTGAATGTGACTTCAACTTCAAAGCAGCTCTCTTCGGGCACAGCCGAGGGGCGGAAAACTCGATGGGACAAAAGGCGCGTAATCGACCTTCGACACACATTCTGGGTAGGCCTGTATCAAGGCACCAGCGCCCGTGTGATTGGAAACACTTTTTCCGTCCGTGAGCGGATCTATTGTCACGTCGATAGGCACCGTCACACTCAGCTACTGCAGCAACTCTGCTCGGCCTGGTAGGCCGAGCGGCTAAACCCAGTCTGTCTGACTTTGCAGTAATCATCGAAGCTCGAGCTTGCTGAGCGCAGCCGCCGGCGCGGTGTTGGTCTCAACCCACGAGGTCGCTCATTCGTTGTCGTTTCGAACGGCATCGCAAGAAGAGGGGACGCCGGCACCGATCTGCTTCAGCTTCGCTGCATCGTCCCTCAGTTTTAGCTGCACCTACGCCATCATCCAGCGCTACAAAAAGGACTATCGCACCGTAATTCACTGGGATTTGCGGCCTGGTAGGCTGAGCGGCTAAACCCTGTCTGTCTGACCTTGCAAGTAAGAACTCTGACCCATTATTCTAGTTGGTCAAACTGTAACGTAAGGTTGCAAATCCCCCGTGTTTCATCTCTTCGTGACATGGGCGTTGACCTGTCCGTTTATCGCGCTCGCATGGGACGTTTTCCCTACTCTCTCGCACACGGCGCAAGCCGACGCTACCTTTTTGTTCCGCGGGCATTGGAATTTGTTCCCAGGGTCCGTTTGCTCGAAGCGCTAACCGCGGCTAAAGTTAGCCGCAGTACCTAGGAGTGGGAGTTTGAGATCACGTGCTCGGTAGGGATGCGGGGAAACAGCGGTGCCTCGGTGAGATAGCACCACTCGCTTTGGAACTAATATGTCGTTGTAGCTGCCAACATTGGGTGCGTTAGTCAGCAACGAATGGTGATGGAGGCTTTCGCTTTGCCTTACTTCACTTTAATCGCAAAGCATGAGCAATGACCTCGCCGCATTTTTTAGAAAATCTTTCGATTCTGACCATTCCTAAGCCTAAACGAACGCGATAATTGTCGGCATGGGGGCGTCTTTGGAAAGTGGATTGCCTTGACTCAATCGGCCGGGTATTGATAGCGCGCGAAAGCAGACAGCGTCCATATAGACTTTTTTCTAAATTTCCCAAGCACCGAGGTGCATGATACGAGCGTATTTACACGCGTTGCACGTGCTGGCGTTTGCAGCAGTAATTGTTCTAAAGCAAAAAGTCTAAGACAAATTTTGCCTTGCACGGGTATTCGTCAAAGCCTTTTTATGATTATTTACTTCGAATCTCTCATAAGAGGAAGGCCAGCGCGCGCGGACCGTAGAATTACACTACCAGCATACTCCTCGATGCTTGGGTTATTTAGAAAAAGATATATTGGGACGCTGTCTACTTTTGTGTGCTGTCAACACCCGGCCGATTGAGTCAAGGCAATCCGCTTTCCAAAGACGTAGCCATGCCAACCATTATCGTGTTCATTTAGGCTTAGGAATGGCCAGAATCGAGACTATCTAAAAAATGTGCAAGGTCATTGCTCATGCTTTGCAATTTAAGTGAGGTAAGGCAAAGCGAAAGCCTCCTGCACCATTCATTGCTGACTAACGCGCCCGATTTTGCAGCTACAACGACATATTAGTTCCAAAGCGAGCGGCGCTCACTCACCGGGGCACCGTCATGTTTCCCCGCATCCCTACCGATCCAGTCACGTGATTTCAAAATCCCTCTCCTAGGTGTTGCGGCTAACTTTAGCCACGGTTAGCGCTTCGAGCAAACGGGCCCAGAGCTCACACTGTAAAAAAAAATCCCGTCAAATTACGGAAATTGTCATTTAATTTTTGATGCCGGTACAATTTCCGTTGTCTTGCATAACGGTCACAGCATTATCTAGGTATTACGTGCATGACAGTAATGAGGCCCTACGGTTTTTGCCCGTAACTTGACCCGTAGAAGCATGGCAGAAAACCGTAACTCTCATGCACGTGGTCCATAGATACGGGAATTGTTCCGGCATCGAAAATTAGCTGGCGTGTTGTCCGTAACTTGCGACGGCAAAAACCCGTAACAGTTAATGACTGAGCTGCACGTGATGTGCAACGACTGAAATCGTTCCGGCATCGAAAATTAGCTGGCGTGTTGTCCGTAACTTGCAACGGCAAAAAACCGTAAATCTCAATTACTGAGCTGTACGTGATGTGCGAAAACAGGAATCGTTCCTGCATCCAAAATTAGCAGGTGTGTTGTCCACACCTTGCAGCGACGGCCACGGCCTGTTGAACTGCTAGCTGCAGTGATTTAACAAAATGGATGTCTAAGTGAACAATAAATATAGCATTTTACTGCTTATTTATTGTTCACTGAGATATCGGTTTTGTTAAATCACTGCAGCTAACATTTTAACAGGCTCTGCCCATTGCTGCAATGTGCGGACAACACGCCAGCTAATTTTTAATGTCGGAACGATTCCCGTCGTCACTCATGATGTGTAGCTCAGTGATTGAGAGTTACAGCTTTCTGCCGCTGCAAGTTACAGACAACACGTAAACTAATTTTTGATGCGGGAACAATTCAATTTAAATATCTAGAGCCCAGGGAATGTGACTAGGCTGCAGGTCCAAGTTCACTCAGGAGTTAATGCCAGCTGCGCATCCCAGAGATTAACAGCTGCTTAAACACTGTGTTAGAAATTTCGAGGAAGTGCACACAAGATACAGTATTAAGTAAAACATGTTCATACCTTTATTCTTAAGAAATAATTAGTGGGCCATGTCCAGCTTTCATGTGGAAGGCAATCTCTAATTTCCTGAGCAATCAAGTCCACATGGAGAACTACAGAACCTGGAAAACAAAACAAAAAATGTGGAATGTGGTTAGGTTATGAACAGAATGTGATGACAGAATAAACCTCCCAAGTTCCGCAAACTATGAGTTACATGTAAGGGCATTGAAGGAGCCTCAGCTGAACTCTGGCGGGCACTAAACAGTGAAACCAACTTGTGACTTGTGATATGAAACCAATTTAACAAGGGAAGTTAGAAAAATTCCTTTGAAGTAAGAAATTTCCGCATCCAATAAGTTACTTCAAGTTTGTTGTCATGAGTTAATTTCAGAAGTTACTGCCACCTGTGCCTCCCAGACATAATTAAACACCGTGTTAGTGGGGTTGTGCGAATATTCGGAATTTCGAACTGTAGTTTCAAATAATACACTATTCTATATTCGCTTTGAGAAGAACTGTGCTGTTCGTGTTTTTCGAAGTGTTGGTTGCGGCGGGCTAGTCCCGTTGAGTGCACTTCTTACCGCGCACCGTTGCACTGCGGAGGAGCAATACCTGCGGAAGCGAGCTCCGCGGGTGTTGCTTCTCCGCTGTGCAACGGTGCTCGGTAAGAAGCGCACTCAACAGGATAACCCGCCACGATAAACACTTGAGAAAGTAGAAATATCGCAATTGCGTGCTTGGAAGAAAAGCATACATTGAACGCGGGGTGGTGCACGTATGCCGGCTGTATTTGAAAATAAATGGAAACTTTGTGAATGTGCATATCTAGTTTGTAGTAAAAGTTTCAAAATTAAACCAACTGTTATGCAAGAGTATACTATGTTAGGCAGAGATGCCCTTACAACCTGGGTTCCTCATGCGCGATTCTTCTTTTAGAGCACAGCTCTTAGGCGACCGTTTCAGGCTTGAGCGGCGTCGCCATAATCGCGCTTTGCATTATGGGAAGTTTCCCATAATGACGTCACGAAGGTTACCCTTGTGAGGGTTACGAGGGTTAGGGACGAGGGTTATCCTCACGAGGGTCACAAGTGTTACCCTCACAAGGGTTGCGAGAATTAGTTACCCTCGAAAGGGTCACCCTCACGAGGGTCACGAGGGTTACTCTCACGAGGATCACCCTCACAGGGGTCATGAGGGTTATGAGAGTTACCTTCACGAGGGTCACCCCCGTGAAGTCCCGTGACCTGCCCCCACAAGGTAAAGCGACCTCAGGGAGTCACCTATCCCTCAGTACCCTTCCATCCTCCTCCTCAAGAGCTGCGCTCTTATCCGGCGTTACAGGGAGTCGTAAACGTCTTTAATTTTTTAACTCAAATTAACGAAAGATTATTTTATACAGCAAGATTTGTAAATTCACTCAATTGGACATCTCTATAGGATTCATTTTATGTCAAATCCATCGTTTACTTGCCATTCCAAGACATCAGAACTTCTGAAGTCACAGTTCATACATATAGATAGATTTAACTTAGCTTATAAACAAACAAGTGGAACAAAGTTCACAAGTTTAGCTGGGTTTTCGTCTAAGGATTATGCAATGATAGTAAAAAGCATGGAAAAACTATATAATATTCAAATCGAAAATATTCGGCCAATACCTCTATTCACTTCTAACTCAAAATCATCTATTCGCACAAGACTACGTGTTAGTAAGAAATTTCAAGCAAGTGCACGTAAGATGCAGTATGAAGTGAAACATGTTCATACCTTTATTCTTGAGAAATAATTAGTAGGCCACGTCCAGCTTTCATTTGGAAGGCAATCTAACTTCCAGAGCAATCAAGTCCACATGGAGAACTACAGAACCTGGAAAACAAAAACAAAAAATGTGGAATGTGATTAGGTCATGAACAGAATGCGATGACACAATAAACCTCCCAATTTCAGCAAACTATGAGTTACATGTAAGCGCATTGCAGAAGCCTCATCTTAACTCTGGCGAGCACTACAGTGAAACCAACTTGTAACTTATGATACGAAACCATTTTAACAAGGGAAGTTAGAAAAATTCCTTTGAAGACAGAATTTCCGCATCCAATAAGTTACTTCAAGTTTGTTGTCACGAGTTAATTTCAGAAGTTACTGCCAGCTGTGCCTCCCAGAGATAATTAAACACCGTGTTAGTAAGAAATTTCAAGCAAGTGCACATAAGATGCAGTACAAAGTAAAACATGTTCATACCTCTATTCTTAATATAATTAGTGGTCCATGTCCAGCTTTCACGTGGAAAGCAATCTCTAACTTCCTGAGCAATCAAGTTCTTATGGAGAACTACAGAACCTGGAAAACAAAACAAAAAAAAATGTGGTATGTGATTAGGTTCTGAACAGAATGTGATGACAGAACGGACCTCCCATTTGCTGCAAACTATGAGTTACACATAAGCAGTGCCTGAAGTCTCCCTTAAGTTGAGGGGGGTCCCTAAAAGAAGGGAGGAGGGCGGGAGGTTCTGACGAAATGTATTAGATGCACATAAAATAAAACCGACTGCTGACTCTGTCCCCACCGTACCTGGAACCCTCCAATTGCTAATCCCCAAATGTCACATTCCTGAAAAGAAGCTATTTTATTGCAAGATGTGATTTTGATTTCACTAATGCTGGGGCTGTGGAGGAGGGACCCAGACCATCCGTTAAAATCAGTGGGGGGTCCGAGACCCCCTGAGACGACCCAGACTTTAAGCGCTGCACATAAGTGCAGTGCAGGAACCTCAGCTTAATTCTGGCAGACGTTAGACAGTGAAACCAACTTGTGACTTATGCTACGAATTCATTTTAGCAAGGGAAGTTTGAAAAATGCCTTCGAAGATAAAGTTGCCGCATTCACAGAGTTTCTTTAAGCCTGCTGTCGCAAGTTAATTTCAGATGTTACTGACAAGCGCACGTCCCAGAGATAAACAGGTGCTTGAAAACCATGTTAGTAAGAAATTTCGAGCAAGTGCACACAAGATGCAGTAGGAAGTAAAACACGTGCATACCTTTATTCTTGAAAATTAATTCATGGGTCATGTCCAGCTTTCATGTGGAAGGCAATCTTCATAACTTCCAGAGCAATCAAGTCCATATGAACAACTACAGAACCTGGAAAACAAAAAAAAAGCGGGATGTGGTTAGGTTCTCAATAGAATGCGATGACAAACTAAACCTTCCGATATCTGCAAACTATGAGTTACACGTAAGTGCACTGCAGGTGCCAGTGTGATTTAAGAAAGCTGTAAACCCCAAATGAAACTACTTGAAAGGGGCATGGACACAGAAATTAGGCAAGTTAGAGTATTTGTTACATGACAACACCTATTGGACATACACGAAACATTTCAGAATATTTAAAACTCCAATAATTACAAAATTATTTTTTTTTAATGTTTATCATTTTTATCTGGGGACCAGGATACCTTGACACAACTCCTACTGTGGCGACGGCAGCTCGTCGATAAACCACGTGACTCGGACTAAGACGTTAAACAATCCGTCTTTCGTCGTTCTCTACCCGCGTTTGCCATGCCAAGCCTGTTCGTTACTCAGGCTCTGTACCTCTTTCTTCTTCTTCCGTCTCCCTTAATAAGTGACGTTGAATTCGAAGGAGCAAGCTGTGCCAGATATTCCAACTTCCCAAAACTTGGGAGGGAAAAGTGGGACAAAGGAGCTTAGTTGAGGCGAGGGACGGGGCGCCTTCTGATCCATGCCTGGAAGTGCATACGAGAGATCTACGAGTGGCACCTCCCCGCAGCTTGGGACTGACTAGGGACACTAAAGGGACAAGGCAGATGTCGTCACCAAGGCCTGCAAACATGGCTGGCTCACTGAGTAGGTGGACCCGAGGGTCCTGCAACTAATTAGAACTTTTTGTGTGAAACTAATGCATTCTTTGATAAACAAATTTGGCAGTTTTATAGCAACACGTAATGGGCTTCAGTGACATACTTAGATTTCATTTTTTCCATTCCTGAAAAGTCTAGAACCATTTGAATGCTAAAATAATACCTACAGCTGTTGTTTTGTTTTACACGTACACATAAACAATTGTTTATGTGTACGTGAAATGAATGCCTAATCTATTTAGAATGTTGTTATTGCCGCTACAAATTCTTGTTTCCCCCCTATGATGCATTCCACGAGAATGCCCTTAAGGTAATGAACATGAACTTGAGCTGAAGTAACTCCCATGAAACATAGCATGGATTTTTATGGTACTCCAACAACCAAAACAGAGCCACAAGTGATCCTACTCGTCAATATAATTAGGATAAAAATGCATGGTGACTAAAATTGTAGACTGGCTTGTTGATACGTCACAAAGGAAACATAAAAAACAGGTACGGATAGAAGTGACTCGGCAAACAAAAGGATCTCTCAGTGGAGGTTGCTTCCAGGAATTACAGATAAACCAAAACATTGAAGATAACTTAAATCATATGGCACCACCCATGGATATCAGTTTGTGTATTGAACAGAGAAGAGAAGCAAAAAAAAACGTTGGAAGAGGAGACACCTCCAGGTGCATTGTATGGGGGGAACAATATGTGATCCACTTTTGCATAACCTATGCAGGTCAAGCAAAGCCCTATATCAAAGACCGCCCTCGGTGTCGTGTGAACATTTGGCAGTACAGTTACCAGATGCGGTTGCATGACCGAGTTCAATAAGATCAGATAACTGCAGGCTATCAGGATAGAATCGCAAGGATATGTGGAAGCTGGTGAAATTTTGGCTCGTGACAACCACAACTGCTTCCTCATCCAGTCCATCCCTTTGTTATAAAAGGATCTTGATCACCTTCAACCAATAAACAAAAGCAAGCATCCTCAGCATTCAGATAAGGTAGGTGGCGCAGGGTGATTACTTGTCGTGTAGTATGTACCATAGAAATAAACCTGAGATGCAAATGGTGAACTGTGAGCTTAGAAATAATGTGTCACTTGTCTTTTTTTCTGTTTTTTGGGGAATCAAATTATTTACAATCTTTCTTATCTGTGCCACTTATATGTAATTGAAAATGGAGGGAACCAGATTTGTGAACATCTGAAGAAAAACTATTTTCCTTGTACCGAACGATACTCCAAGTACAACTCTTAGCTACCGTAGAATACCATGCATCCGCCCATTCCACATTAAGCGCCGATATCCAAATTTTTAAGATCTTAGAAAATATGCACAGTACATTTATATGTAAAATTGATGACCAGGCAAGCGCCCATTCCCCATTTTTTCGCGATTATCTCTAAATTTTGAGTGGGCGCTTGCCTGGTATTTTACGGTAATACAGTAGCCTACAATTGAAATAAAGAAGTGTTGTATCCTGCATGCCAAAAGATGCACAAAGGCTTGCCCAGCGTGATGCAGACGGACGCTGCGGGAAGCTCTTTGAGTTGAACATTGGAGATGAGTGTTACATTCTAAAAGTAAACAATGCAGCCCCCGCACCCCCCTCCCTCCCTCTTCTTCCCCCCCCCCCCCCCCAGTTCAACTTCAAACCATATAATTATCTGAGCATGTCTCAAAGGCAAGAAAGCACAAGTGGCTAATGTTTCCATGCATTAACAGACAAAATGTAATCATCAGTGGTGAAGCTTACGAAAGAACTGCTTGTAGCAGCTTCTGCAGCAAAAACATGGCTTTTGTAGCCCATATTTTATTTAATTTATTTCACACTGCAAACTTAAGGACATGACGTCCCGAAACCAAGACGACACACAACGAAAACAGCACAACCAAGCACCGGGGCAGGATACCACTAGCAGACAATAGTTGCTTGAACGACGGCAAGTTAAAGTATTCAAATAACGAACCTGCAGCAAAAAGATGACCGAGCGTTCCTTCATGGCTGTGGTAGCGTGCCTCGAATGACTGGCGTGGGGTAGCGGCTTCTGTAGAGGCGTCGTAGCTGAAGACCAGTGCTGGCAGGCTCCTAATTCTCCCAACTTGAAATCTACCAAGATGGGTCCCAGGAACCACTGTTTTCCCGTGGTTGGCTCGAGAACAATCAATTTCGTGGCGTCCTGTGGTTCGTCCAGCATATGGGCCCCGTCATTGCTGGCGATGCTCAGAAGTATAATCTGCAGCAAAAAGATGCGTGAGTGCTTCATCACGGCTGTGGTAGCGTGCCCCCCACATTTGAGCTTTTGGAGCAGGCGATTCCGGTTTATCACATTGTAAAAAGCGATTCAAGCACTATAGAAATTCCCGCAGTTCCTCACAGTGTCATAAAAACTAATATAACTGCAATTATGACACACAATTATTCACAGCAAAAAGATTGCTGTTGGAAAATGGGATAGAAAGCAAAAACACAGAACTTTGGCAATGACCTCATTGCCTTTAAAGCTTGATGCAATAACTAAATCAGTCCCATATTCGACAACTGCAAAGCAACAAAACTATTTAAACATAGTGAATAAACCACACGTCACAACAAGCATTTTTCCCTAAAATGAAAATAATGGGAGGAAGACTCATACGAGTGTTCCTCAAGTAATCGGTGCCACCGAAACAATGACTGATACCGCTCTCCCTCCCATGCAAGGCATCAATAATCGTTCCAGCCAAGGAGAAGCTACTACAAAAGGGAAACTAAGGGTTGCACACTCTTCTCGGAAAGTGGCCACTTTTTGCTTGAGCATATATTTTAATAGTCGCTTTTACGTTGGCAAATATAAGCGAGTAACATGTGTGAATTTTTACGGAAGCGCAGTGCCGCAAGAGAAAGGCACAACTCGTTGAAAGCAAGTTTCAATGGTCTTGCGGCATGATCAAAGCTTCCTTGGCATGCCGAAGCGCTGAGTCTCTGTGCCTTCGCACACTAGGATACCGATCAAGAATTGGTGCCGCGATAAAAGTTTTGAAGGTGTGTCGTGCATAGATGTCTTTGCATCTTATATCGGCTAAAGAGTTCTGGAGCATCCAGATGTTCAGGCGAGCTGCTATCAATAAAGGGGGGAAAGCAATCTGTACAGTTGCTCTTATGCACTATTATCCATGGCTGTGTTCCAAATCTACTCTAATAGATCACATAGCAGCACAAATAGAGCAACGCTGGAGAGCAAGGAGGGTTTTCGAAGGCAAAAGTACAAGACGGCGAGAATGAAGATCTTTGAAGCACGGTCCATATGGTCGTGTGCAGTCTGTTGACCAATCACAATTAGGCGAGCCGTGCTCAAACGTCAAGTGAAATTAAGTAGGTTGATAATGAGACACCGCTGATCACTGACGAGGAGCTGTTGTGCGCGGTATTCTCTGAACCGTCTAACAACAAAAAAAAGAAGTACCTTCCTCCCCTCTTCCGTCGCCACTTAGTTACAAATACAGTCGTCAGAGTAAAGTAAACCGCTGCTCCAGAGGCACATACGGCTACAGGCACACTGCACTCGCAAAACACATTCACACGGTGTCGATTCTTGACCAGCATCCAAGCGTGCGAAGGCATAGAGACGCAGCGCTTCGGGGTGCCAATGAAGCTTTGAGCAAGCCGCGAGACCGGCGAAACTTGCTTTCGACGAGTTGTCCCTTTTTTCTGCTGCACTGCGCTTCCGTCAAAATTGTCACGTGTTCTCAACGGCAAGTCTCACGTCTTCCATAGAGTTTTAAAGAACTTCGGTGAATGACGACGAACGAGTAGAAACCGTGTCTTCAGCACGCTGCCGCCAGCCTCCGCAACGCTCCAAAAGCGCGCATTCTCAAGATGCAAGATTGCCGTCCGGTGGCCGCACTCGGGCTGCAGCGATCAAGCGGGGGTACGCGATCCAGCAATTGTCCTAAACATCAGTGTATAAACTAGAGAAAACACGACATGCTCTTAAACTCAGTACGCGACAGCGCTCGTTATGATAATTCAATGAGCGCGGTTCAGTCTTTCATGTTAAAATCTGATTTCTCCGGTTTTTCCCGCGCCTGAAAGCGAAAGGGTGACGGCGCCCGAAAGCAAAAAAGGTACGAACAGAAGGAGTTCGGGAGAGCCCACTCAGCCCAGAGCAAACCAAACACTGATGGCGATGAGCCCTGTGCCTGC